TCGTCCTAAGTGTGATGAAAGTGAGACGATGTCCTTCTCCAGGCGGGCTGGTGCCTTGCACATAAGGAAGGCCCTTGGGAAGACTGCCTGTTTCTGTCCTTATTCCTGCTCTCGTCCATCTTTTTATCAGGACCTGGGCAAAGCCACCGGGAACAAGCCCCTCAGACGCTGTGGATAACAGGCCGTCAGTGAGAACAGGGCATGTGTTGGGAGACACACGCAGGATCACAACACCCCCCTAACCTGCTGGAGTCAAGGTGAGATGAACATGGCTTCACTGAGAGATCTGGGCTTGGCTCCAAGGCACCGGCTGTGCAAGGACAGTGGGGGAAGTGGTGGCTTAGCAGAAGCAAGTGTGAATAAAACTGAGGGTTTTTGCTGACAGCCAGCTCCGTATGAGTCAAAGGAAAAGGCTGCCAGAAAAGCGGACAGACTCTGAGGCTGCTGAATTGAAGTCGAACACCGAGCCCAGGGACTCTCCATCTTGCTGTCAACCAGCATCACCTGGGAAGCTCTGGTAACACAGTGTGTCCTTGCTGTGCCCAGGCCCTCTGAATCGGGACCTGGGATGGGAGAGGGGGAAGAAGGTGAGGAATCTGTATTTCCCACGTTTCACCTTGGTTCCAATGTGCAGTCAGAGCTCTAGAGCCAAGGAAGATGCAGTCACATTCTTGTTCCTGTCCTGTCTCGTGTACTCAGGGACTTCCGTTGGGTTGCTTTATCGTGGGGGAACGAACAGCAGGGGGGCATTTGGAGGAGGACAGCCAGGACATAGGATGCACACAACACTCCGTGAGGACTGGCGGAGGGACCATGGCTCAGAAGACTCAGGTGGCCAGGAGGTCCACCTCCAGATGGATGAGACTTGTTCTCCTGGGTCCCCAAGGTTAGAATCTTAGGTGACGTAGGTGACTGTCTTAGCTCAGGTATCTCAGGAAGCATTATGAGGAAAGGGTTTTCTTGCAGAAAGTTCATTGGGAGGCACTCTCAGAAACAACACGGCATTGAGGAAGTGAAGGAGTCAGGACTGAGCAGAGTAATACATTGATCAGTGATGCAGTCACACAAGGGACGCCTCCGAGGGGCCTCTGGGTGCAGATTATCCCTAGGAAGAGCGCCTGGAGGAGGGGCAATAGTTCCTCCTACTCACCGTCCAGTAAGATTCCCGGAGAAAACAGTCACTGGAATTCTGGAGGGGCTGTTTCCACACAAAGTCAACTTCCCATACGAAGCTAAGCCATGTCCAGGGGCCACTGCTGCAGTTGCTGTGGACATCACCCAGGTCCTGTATCTGTGACCAAGAAACTTAACCCCAAATTGCCAGGAGTGCTGGCGGCCGGCCCGGGGGGCTTACAGCTCAATCGCGCCCTGAGCACTTCCAAAGGGAGCTGCCTGGCCCAGCTTCCTGAGCGGGGACCATCCGCCTGGCCAATGTGGGGACGCCAAGGTCCAGCCCTCTTGCCTCAGGTGGGCCAGGTCTGAAGCGTCATCCCAACTCCAGAGACCCCTGTAGGGGTGTCCTTTGCTGTGACTGCATCACTGACCAATGCATTCATCTGCTCCATCCTGACTCCCCGCTACTGCAGCCCGGCTTGGTGTCACTGATATTCAGCATTCTCCCTGCCCCGTTACCCAGTTTAGAGTCTCTTTACTTCAGTTTGCACCTCTGCTGGTGCGTTCCTGAGGGATTTGGGTGCCCAATCACCAGCCCCTTCTCAACCCAGGCTTCTGAATTTGTCTGCTTACTATAAACGTTGGGCCAGGGAGTATCAAGAGACACTCAGGAGCATCACCTGCGTGCCAAACATAGTCTTTCCTAACCCTGCTGTGCAGCAGCAGCCCTGTGTTTTCTAAAGGACCAGGGTCACCTATCCCTGCCAGGAAGTGACTCCTTTCTTTGCCTGCTGGTCTCTTGGCACAAGGGGTCTGAAGGATGAAAAACAGCCACACTGAACATTTATGGGATCCTTGTTCTGTCCCCCGCCTCTGGGACTCAGATTCTCTAAACCACAGAGCCTGGAACTGCAGGAACAGGAACCACAAAACCCACCCCTTCCCCAAGGGTCACTGGGAGTGATGGTGAGGGAGGTCATTCCTCCTCCTAGACCTCTGTATGTCAGCTATTGAGCCATAGCCCAGATGATAGTTATTGGGTGGAGTGCATACTTCATGCCGAGCACATTGTACTCAAGTGGTGCTTCAGCTGCACCTTTGAAAGGCGGTTCTTTTGCTCTATCAGCTCTATTCACCAGTGGGCAGCAAAGTATGTGATGTGCCCGGACAATTATATGACCACTCTTTTGCTAGAAAGTGGGACTCTCGATCTGATGCAACATTATGTGAGAACCAAACACTCTTTCAGCCCTTGGAGAGTAGTGCTGGTTGAGACCTTTAGCAAGAATGTATGCCCATTCAAGTCAAGATGGGTCTCCAACCCCTCCAGAGTACCCACCTGATAGGTTGTTGTGAGACAAGGAACAGTAAGTACCTAGAGCACATTAGGGCGTGGATGGTGCTGCTGTTATCACTGGTCAGAGCTTTCCAAGGCTGACCAGTGATACACGATCATGGAGGGTCTTTTAGTTGATGCTCCATAAGGATGGCATTCTAGAGACCATTGGAGTATTTACAAAAAAATAACCTTCTGGCCGAAACTGGTTTGGCTCAGTGGATAGAGCGTCTGCCTGCGGACTGAAAGGTCCCGGGTTCGATTCCGGTCAAAGGCATGTACCTTGGTTGCGGGCACATCCTCAGTGGGGGGCGTGCAAGAGGCAGCTGATCGATGGTTCTCTCTCATCGATGTTTCTAACTATCCCTCTCCTTTCCTCTCTGTAAAAAAAATCAATAATATATATATATATTTTTTAAATGACCTTCTGAGCCATTTCTGTCCCCACCCTGCCTTGATGCTGATTTCGCTCCCTCTCCTCCCTTAGTGGGGGAGAGGCACTTAAGGAAGCATATTCACCTTCAGGCCACTAGGGGGCCATTTAGTTGCCTGCAGCAAGAATACACTAATGGTTTCTTAATGGCTCAAGCACCAGGGAGATCAGGCTCAATTATATCTGAAAGCTATTTGAGTTCTGGGGTAAAAGACACTATGTAAATCCAGATAATAAATAGGGCTTATTGATAGGTTAAAGAATCTGGCACTGTTTAGTTTAGAGAAAAATAGGCTGAGAGGATTTGAATAAGTGCTTCTCAAGTACGCTTATTCTTTAGTATAGAAAAGAATTGCATGCTGTTTTCCACTCCACTGAGAACTAAGCAAGAAGAAAGAAGTTTTAATTTGCAACAGAAGAAATACCGGGTGAATTCCAGGAGGAGGCTTTACCTGGAATCTTTCCGAATAATTTACCTTGTATGGTTGGTATGATCAGTCCTGCCAGGAAAGCCAGAGAGCAGGGGAGAGGAGAGGACAACATTCAGAGGCAATTCAGGGATTTTAACTCAGCAGCCCCCTGTGGCTGACCTGGGAGCAGGATGGGAAGGAGTGGTTGTCTTTCCCCCATCGGCCCAGCAGAAGACAACACACACTCCGAACGGCCAACGTTCTTGAAATTCCTCAGAAAGTGAAAAGGCAGGCTGTTCTGGAAATAGCATCCAGTTGGCCACTGTTAGTGGCAGGCTCACAGCTGGGCCTCAGGAATGGGAGTGAGGGGTGGGGTTATAGGCCTTTGGCTCCCTCGGCCATCAGCACACTCTGTTCCGGTAGCCGCCTGACTTCTGTGTGTAATTGGTCAGGACTGTTCAGCGGCTAAGACGCTGCCTCGGGGAGCAGGCAGGGTCCACCGTCACAGAGAATGTCTACGGGAGCTGAAGAGAGCTCCACAGGACCTGGTGCAGGAGGTCCTAGGGTCCATGGGGCATTTACAAAAGATGGTCTTTTGGGCCCTTTCGGTCCCCACCCTGCCTTGATTCTCTGACTTCTCTCACTAGGCCTATCCTAGCACGGGCAGGACAGCAGCGTTGCGAAGGGGATTCCCCATCATAGGGCCTGTGTCTGGAAACCATAGGTCTCCCGTGGAGGATGAGGGAAATGGGAAAGGAGAGAGGGTCCTGCCCCAGAGTCAGAAGCGAAGTCAGGCTCGCATCTGCAGGGGCAGGAGTTGGGAGGAAGCTGTTCACCCACAGAAGCCCATCAGGACCACGGTCCTCTCCCCACACGGGTACAGTCTCCCACACCCAGGTGGTCCATACACCTGGTTCTGGGAACATAGGAAGTAGAATTCAAGGAGGAGGGACCTAGAAATTCTGGAAAGTCTTATAAAGAGAGAATAGGAAGAAGAGAAGGCAGGAGCGGGGAGGGCAGAGGAGGGGGAAGACTCAGGGAAAGGCGTCTGCTGAAGAGTCCGAGCTGGGAGAGGGATCCTCAGAATCGACCAGAGGACAAACTTCACAAGAGAATGGGGTGGGGATGGGAGCGAGGGAACAAACGCCCATGCTCTGCGGCCGGGAGAGGATGCGAGATGGGAAAAGCTCTTGCAGCCGCGCCACGGGCTCGATGCAGCCCCTCGGCCTGGGGTCGGAAGCTCCCGACAGCGGGAGGACACCTGTTGCAAACTTTGGCACTAAGATGGGAGGCGAGCCTGGAGAGCGAGCCTAGCACGTGGTACTGGCCCGGGAGCTCTGGGCACCCTGACCGGGGCCCTAAGAGGACAAGGAGTCGGACGGATTTCAGCGAAGCCCCGAAGCCCGGGCGGGACGGGAAGGGGAAAGGGAGTGAGGCCTGGGGTGGGGTGGGGGGGAGGGGCGCGACCTGCCGGGAGCTGGGCGCGCGGGGCCGGTCCTCGCCTGCCTGCGGGGCGGGGGCTGGAGCCGCCGGGTGCAAAGGGGCCTGGACTGCCACGTGGATCAGGGCGCGCGCCGGGAGCACGCACGTGCTGTCAGCCCCCCCCCCCCCCCCCACTCCGGGGCGCACCGAGGCCTGGGGCCCACGCTGGTGCTGCCGTTCCTCCTCGGGACCGTCGGCCGGGAGGAGAGTCGCCAGCTCCGCACTCCGCCCCCCCTCCCCGCCCCTTTCCTGTCCGCTCTCCTCCCTACGGGACGCAGGTCCCCCTTTAAAGCAGCACCGGAGCCCCCCCTCGCGGGCGGCGGGCGCGGGTCTGCGGCCCCTTTAAGACCAGCCTCCTTTAACCCTCTCGCCCCCGGGCGCCCGGCTGGCTCGCGGCGCCGACAGCAGCCCGCCTCCCGCGGCGCTTCCGGACCCGGCGTCGCCCCTTTAAGGGCAGCCCCCCGCGGCGCTCCCGCCCCGGGCCCGGCGCGTCAGGCGGGGGAGCCGGGCTGGAGCAGCGCGGTCGGCGCGGCCACTGGAGACCGAGCGGCCGGCGGCCAGGCAGACGGCGGCGGCGGCGGATGGGGACGCGGAGCCGGGCGGCTGCGGCGGCAGTGGCTGTGGCGGCGGCGGGGAAGCAGCTGACGGGCCGGCGGCGGCGGCGGCGCTGGCGGCGGGGACTGGCCCAGGCCCCGGCCCAGGCGGCGGCGGCGGCAGCGGCAGCGACGCGGCTGGCAGGCTGCGGGCGGGCGGCGTGAGGAGCGCGGCGGAGCGGCCGCGAACCGGGGCGCCCCCGCCCCCCTCGTCCTCCAGGCCGCCAGGCCCCCGCCCGCCGGGGCCGTGGAGCGCCGCGCCCGAGGCCGGGGCTCCCCCATGAAGGAGCGCGACGCGGCCCCGTCCGAGCGGGGCAAGCCGGCCACCTACACCGGGGACAAGAAGGCGAAGATGGCGGCCAAGACCAACAAGAAGTGGGTCCGGCTCGCCACCGTGTTCGCCTACGTGCTGTCCGTGTCGCTGGCGGCCATCGTGCTGGCCGTCTACTACAGCCTCATCTGGCAGCCGGTGGGCGCCGGCTCCTCGGGGGCAGCCGCCGGCCCGCCCCCCGGCGGCGCCAACGCCACCGGCCAGTCCGGGACCTCGGGGGCGGCCGCGGGGCCCAACGCCACCGGCCCGTCCCGCCGCGAGGCGCCGCGCGCCGCGCCCCCGCTGCAGGCGGCCCGGGCCCCGCCGCCCGCGCCCCCGGCCGACGGCCCCCTGGCCCGGCCGCCGCCGCCGCGGGCGCGAGGCCCCGAGGAGGACGAGGAGGAAGCGGCGGCGCCCGGGAGCCGGTGAGGCGCGCGCTCGCCCCTGGGCGGCGGGGAGCCGGGACGCCGGACTGGGCAGCCGGACGGACGGAGAGCCCGCGGGACGGACCCCCGCGCAGCGAACGCCCCCTTCCCCGACGAGCAGCGCCGACCCGCGGGGCGGACGGCCGGCAGCCCGGTCTTCAGCGGAGGGACCTCGGCCGGTCTGGGACTCGGGGGTTCGGTCTTCCCAGGACTGTGCGGCGGCGGTGGCGCCGGGTCTATGAGCCATAAAGGGAGGCGGGGAGCGGGGGGATCCCAGCACCGAACCCTTGTGCGCCGCTGGCAGGGGTGTGTCCTTCGTGCAGGGGTGACCCGGGCTTTCCCCCCTCCCCCCCAAGACTCAGGGGAAAGAGGGAGCCGCACGGGCTCTTGAATCAGCTGAAGCTGTCGGAAGGAGGGAGGGCACCAAAAAAGCAGGGGAGCTCAGGTACGTCAACCTAGTTGCAGTGGCCACGAATGCATTTAATTTATAGATCCCTGTATATAGCTGTGGACAAATGCACCAGGAGTTGTAATTGCATAGTGTGATATATGTCCTCCCACACCCTGCGTGGCTGATGGGGTCAGGCAAAAGGGCTATTTGCTGGGCCCCGGAGTGCAGCTCGGCCACAGGGCACAAACTGTTTTTTTTTTCCATCACCCACTCTTTCCCTCTTTACTTCAGAAATAGGTTTATGCCACACAAAGAGTATAATCACTCTTCGACTTGCTGAAAGGACAGTGGGAACCCTTAGGAGAAGTAGAAGCCGTTTAGGGAGGGTGGGGAGTGTGCGGATCTCTTCCCACCCTAGTGTCCCCACCCGGGAGGTTTCCGGCAGCACCCTAAGTATCTGGCGATGGGCCAGGGAAAAGGGAGAGAGCGATGCCTGCGTGCCTCAGTCTTTGGCCTTCTCACAGTTTTTTAGGAAGAGCAAGCTTTTGTATGTAGAGTAACTCACGAGTGTTTGTTTTATTCCCCTCACCACCACCACCACCACCACCTCCTTAAAATCTTGTCTTGGTCCAGTAGTCATCCCAGCCTTCCCTCTGTCCTGAGCTCGTAGTGACAAGTTAGCCCAGCAATTAGGATGAACTTTGTTGTGAAATCAGAGCTTTGAACACGTCCTCTGGTTTAAAAGATGAATTTACAGCTCGGGATTGTGCTTTGGTAGCCAGGTAATAGACGAGCGGTGGCAAGGTCATGACCCCTCCTGATAGACTCCTGTGCTTTTTCTGAGATGAGAAACATCAAGGGGAATGACACTGGGCCAGAGCTCTGGGGCAGCGAGAATTATGCATCCTCAATTAGGATTCCATCTCCTTCTGCCACTTGCTTTTAGGCAATTGAGTGTGGGTATGACAAGATACCAAAACCCTTAATGTTTCCTTTTTTGGGAAATGAGGCACCTTTTTATAAAAAGGACAAATATAGCCACCTGAGCCCTGAAACAGTTTGTCTCTCCAGTTTTCTGGCCTGCACTCTAGTTAGCGCTGATCCAAGGACGCGCAGCCTTGCTTTAAGCCATGTCCTGTTGTGGGCAAGAAAACTGCAGCTGAGCTGTCAGCCTGGGGCGGGCTGGCAGCACCCCTCGGTGTCTTGCTGGAAGAGATTTCTGAGCAGCTGACTTGACTTCAGTCATTAGAAAGCCTCTGAGGCCTTTTAAATTTCTGGTGGGGCCCTATGGGGGAGAAACATAAAATGCCACTTTATAACTTCAATAATAGCCTGTACTTTATATTTATTGTGTGGATTTTTAGCCCTCTATTTTAATAATTTATAAATGGATCTCTTATCCCAAGAATTCTTTGAACTTGCAGGAGAACATCTGGGTGTCCAGCCTCCCTGTCCCCATCCCGACCCCTGTGTTCTGGGCTGTCGGATCCACCCTGGGACGGATCAGAGTCTAGAGACCACTCACGGGCCCAGCTGCTGGCCTCCTGACTCTAAAGCCTTCACTGGAACCGGACATTAGTTCCAGCCCTCGCTGTGAACATGACCAGAGACATTATTTATAATGCAGCCATTTAAGATAAACCTGTACTCAAAAAAAGTCTTGTATATTTTTTAAAAGTTTTATTTTTCAGGTGAACAAAAATACATTCTAAGAACTACGTAAGCCTGTGTAAGTTGTTTCTGTTTTCGGATTTCTTGGGGAAGGAGTAGAAGTTGGAAGAGGAAATGGTCTGAGAGGAGGTGGATGGGCGCTGGTAAATAGCTGTCGGAGGCAAAAACAATTGCCCTAATGTTCTCTGCCGGATAGCTTGACTGAACTGATTAGTCAAGGGTGGCGAGATCCATCTTAGTCGGGAAGCAGTGATGGGGTTGGCAGGACAGTGATATCTAACTTTAAAAGGTTGGGGGGCGGGGGGGGGGGGGTTCTGCTTTTATAGGATTCTGAACAGATGCCTCGCTGAAGAAGCTAAGGGATCAGCCACCATGCATATTAAGAATTATTGCAAATATTGAGCTGGCTGAGAGCTGAGGTGAGGATAATCCGCATGATAACACCACTCTTCGCAGCTTTAAACAAACCGTTGGCCCCTAGATAGTTCAGGAAATGCTAACACCAGGAAAGACACACTGCTCCAGGAGGCTGCAGCGCTGGTCAGGGCTTTGTCTAAATGGAGAAGGGGAGAGAGTCAACTGCTGAGAGAACTTTAGATTGCTCCAAAGGTGAGGCTTTTCCACCCCCTAATGCAAACAATAAGAGGCATGCGGGTGAAAAGCACAAAACTAAGGGATTAGTTATGCCGCAAAATACATGGCAAGCAATTGAGCTCGGCTCATTATTGGACGGCGCTGCCCAGTACACAGCCAAAAGCCAGTGTTGGTGGGGCCCCCTGGGGCCTGCACTTCTGCAGAGCGGCTGGGGGGTGGCTGCTGTTCTTTTACATCACCTTGTAGTCTGCAGGGGAGCCGGGAAAGTCCGCCCTCCTTTTATTCCCCTCTTCAGCCTACACAATGGCTTTCTGTGAGGGGGCTCGGGAAGGCAGAGCCAGAGCCGAAGGGGGCGGGAGCGTTTTGTGGCTCTGGGCAGGCTCCCTCTCCGTGGATGGTGACGTGTGGCTTTTGCTGCTGCACCGGCTTCTCACGGTGGGCCCTGCAGCAGGCTGTGTGGCAGGGGCCTGCCAGCTGACGGGATGGGCACCATTCCACCAGAACCAAACCCAGCTGGTGGGGGCAGTGGTCTCAATAGTGGTCTCTTTTCGAGGGTGAGACATTATCTGCAAAATTGTCCTACAGCTGTTGAATCAGAAAGGAGGGATTTGTGCAGAGGCTGTTCCTTTCCTTCAACTAACTGCTTTGTACCTGCACCACGAGGATAATTTCTCCGTGTTTGCTTGTATTGACGTTACTGCTGTGCACGTATTCCCTGACAGCCTGAGTGGGAAGAGATAGATAACCCGCTTTTGAAAGAAATTTTGGAGGGTGAGGGGCCAGGAGTTTGCTAAGCCAGTTACACTGAGTTGGAGTGAGTATCATTTCTCTCCCCCAGGGAATGCTGAGGTACGAAAAGTGTTTCTCCGAAGTTTTAAGCAGAAGAAATGTTTTTCTTCCTAAGCTCTAGGTTTCTGCACAGTATGAGGCCATTTTCTGCCTACCTTGTCTTTCAGTTTTCACTGGGGAATGCTAAGATACTGTGTTCTTCGGTTGAGTATTTATATCCTGTTTTGAAATGCTGAGGGAGAGCATCTACTTGTTTCTACATGCTTCTTCGGGGAACTGAAAGGTCAGCTCCTAAGCTGTATGGCTACCACAGCTTCTTAAAAGGGGGGAATCATTGTCCTTCCCTTCCTGTTTGCAGAGAAAAGAGGTATTTCTGGGATGGCAATTGCATTAACAAAAGGGTTACAGGGGCTGTGTGTGTGTGTGTGTGTGTGTGTGTGTGTGTGTTGTGTTTTGGTCTCTGGGCTGAGACACAGGCTAAGCTGGCCCTGGCCTGGTCGTAGGTGCGCTGAGTTTGTTGCTCACCTGGTCAATCACTGTGTTGGACAGCCTTGTTCCCGTGTCATTGTGGTGTCAAGGTCCTATTTCACTGTGGACCCACACCCACAGCCCATAATCTGCTTCAGGGGAATGGACTGATGACGGAAGAGAATACACACACACACACACACACCCCCAATCACAGCTGCGCTGGCCATGCCAGCCGTGTTTTCTGCCTTTGTGGGCTGTGGGCTGGGCCTGCCTGTTCTTTCCGGCTCCAGGAGCCACAGCTGTATTCCATGAGGTGCTGAATGGAGGCAACACGGAATGTGTGACCCGCTCATTGTCTCCTGGTTCTGACCCTTTATGCCGGATGTTAAGCTATAAAAACACCTACTCCATTAGCAGTTTTACCTGATGACGTAGCCTGTGGGTTTCTCCTGCCAGAAAACCTATGTTCCTCGTTCTGCTCTTTGTTCCCTCCAGTATCTGATTTTAAGAATACAAAAACAAAACCTTTTTTTTAATCGCACAGCCCAGCTCTCCATCCTAAGTACAGAAACAGCTATGCTCCCATGATGCTTGGGAGCCACCTGGTCGGTGAGGAGCACAGGTCCCTGTGCTACTCTACACGACCGGACAGCTACCATACCGTTCGCACCCTCAAGGACTTGACAGTCATGCCAGCAAGAGTCTACCGTAGTCATCGCCCTGTTTTCTTAACTTCAGTTATCTGTTTTGGCTAATAGCTTATCAGGTAAACAGCAGTAAGATTCTAACTTACTTCCCATAAACCACTACCATTAATTCAAGAACTATTTATGTAGTGCCTACAGTGTGACAAGTGAGCCTCAAACATCCCAAAGCCAACTTGTCCAAAAAAGCAATTATGTTGATTACCAAGGATTTGCTTTTAAATATACCTCTCGGCTACCTCCGTAGCATCCTGAGTCACGAGTTGAGTCTCCCCGAACTGTGTTCTGGAGGCCACTCGTCCCCGCAGCGCCCTGCTGGTCAGCCTGGGCAGGGTGTGTCCCAGCAGCCAGTGTCTGGTCCGCTGACAGCTCACAGGATCGCAGGGACCCGGGTGGGAGGCCGCATGCTCTTAGGGGGGACTCCTGAATGGGCAACTTGAGGACTCGATGGCATTGGTTATGGCCCTTGAGAGCAAATGGAGGCAATAGAGGTGACAAGGCTTGGAGATCTTGGGAATAAAAGTACCGTGTTCACACATGGGGTAATATGTTTTCAAGGGAATGTCTGTCCCTTTGGGAAAAACCGACGCATGGAAAGAAATGGAAAGGGACAGGTAGAAACCCCCCACCAGGCCCAGACCATCAGCCTGAGCATCCCTGGGAACTTTAGGAATGTCATGTCTTGGGCCCCATCTCAGACCAACTGAGTGAGAAATCCAGGAATGGAGCCCAGCATTGTGCTTGTTTGTTTGTTTGTTTGTTTAATATATATTTTATTGTTTTTTTACAGAGAGGAAGGGAGAGAGAGAGAGAGAGAGAGAGAGAGCTAGAAACATCGATGAGAGAGAAACATCGATCAGCTGCCTCTTGCATACCCCCCACTGGGGATGTGCCCGCAACCAAGGTACATGCCCTTGACTGGAATCGAACCTGGGACCTTTCAGTCCCCAGGCCAATGCTCTATCCACTGAGCCAAACCCTTAGGGCCCAGCATTGTGTTTTAACTAGCCTTCCAGGTGAGTCTGATGCATACTAAAATTGAGAACCACTGGTCCAGCCTTTCCTTCAGAACCTGCAACGGGTGAGGGTATTTCTGTTACTTATTTTGATTTCAGAGAGAGGAAGGGGGAGAGAGCGAAACATCAATGTGAGAAAAACATCAACCAGCTGCCTCCTGCACATGCCGTGACTGGGACTCAAACCCGCCACCTCTTGGTGTACGGGATGATGCCCAACCAACTGAGCCATACAGCCAGGGCTGAGGGTATTTCTGTTTTGACAGATGATTATCAAGGGGACTTTTGATTCTCTTGGTTGAAGCCAGCTGCCCTGCCAGGGGGAAGGGAAACGCTGTGTCCCCAGAGTTGGTGAGTAAAGGGGAAAAGCACAGGGTGCTGAGCATTTGTGACAGTTACAACAGAACTCGCCCGGAGAGCGAGCATGTTAACAAGGAGGCAGCCCTCTCTCCCTTCCTCCAAGGAGACAGTCCTCTCTCCCTCCCGCCAAAGGTACCGATGTGTTTGCCTCACCTCCTCCTGGAGCCTGCTGCTCCCAGAGCCAGTCCTTAAAAGGAGCAGTGGGTGCCACATCGGCTCCTTCTGGTGCCAGGTCTGCGCAATCTCACGTCCCTGGCGTCAAGTGGATGCTTAATGAGCGGCTGTGACGGGGGCCAGCAGCCTCAGTGAGAAAAAGCAGCCACAGTCTGGGCCTCCTGCCGGCTCCTCTCATTGCCTTTCCCAGCCTTGCCTTTTCCCCCTCCGTGAGGCTGTGGTTAGCCAGTGTCAGCCCTTCCTCAGAAGCCCTGATAACCCTCGCTCAGCGAGACGCCTGCCGGGGTCTGTTGGTGCCGATAAATGACTCAAGAGGCAGAGTGAAGGGGTTGGTGTCTTTACTTTCTCCTTTGCCCTTGATCCCCTCTGACTAACCCCCAAAATAAGAAAGTATGGGGGATTTTTGGCAGTTCCCTTTGATCTTCTGGGGGGCTAGTACCATCTTTACCTGTTATTCCAGTCTCCGAGGCCAGGCTTGGGATTGGAGTTGACTGGTGGTCAAACCTTCCCAACTTGTGCCTTGTTGGGTAGTAAGAGAGCTGGGGAGCCCCTGCTTCTAGGGATCCCCAACTACCCACCCCTTGACCATAAGAACATATAGTCATGCTGCTCCTTTGGGAGACAACACTTAACACTGGGAGACATGGAGCAAACTCCACAAGTCGAGTGTGTTTCCGGGGGAAATATGAAAGGAGTAAACACTGGTGGGAGTTCACGAGATTCCTGATGATGGGAACAGAGGGAAAGAGAAACCGCTCTGAACTGTGGGAGCCAGTGTGCAGAGGCCGGCAGAAGCGCACTGGGGGGTGGGGGCAAAGACCCTCCCTGTGAGAGAAGGTCACTTCCTGAGGCCGTGACTCAACTGGACTTCCCGGGGCGAGAGCTGCTCAGCTTTATGAACCACCCCTTGTCTCCCTGAGGCGTCCTGACCCCGTGAAGATGAGACCAGAAGAGAAAGTAAAAGAAAAGATGGGAAACAAAGTAGACAGGTCACACCAAATAACTACTTCATTTATTCAACAGTATTCACCAAGTGCCTTGTGGAGCCAGGCTACTGTTAATAGAGTGCCTACTGTGTGCCAGGCATGTTTTTCATACTCTTATCTTTATTTGAACAGCCTTTCAGCTAGATATTACTAGCCCCCTGTTGCAGATCAGAACACAGGCTTTTAGAAGCTAAATTGACCACGGTCATCCAGCTGGCAGGTGGCAAACAGGATTCAGATTCAGTCTGTCGGATCCCAAAGCTCATGTGTGTCCCATCATCAAAAAAGGGCCGGTGTGGCTCAGTTGGTTGGGCTTTGTCCCATGCCCTGGAAGGGCGCCGGTTCAGTTCCTGGTCAGGGCACATGCCCAGGTTGCAGGCTCCATCCCAGGTGGGGAAGGGCAGGGGACAGCTGATCGATGTTACGTCATTGTTTCTCTCTCGCCCTCAACCTTCCTCTCTAAACACCAATAAGAAACCTGATTAAAACAAAACAGAACGCAAACCTCCCTTACAATTCGGTCTGCTGTTCCTCTCTGCGAAGGGACATGGGCCCAGCACTGCCTCTTCCGCGCCCCCTGTTTGGAGGCCTTCGGTAAAGCTGTCATCTCCCTGCTGGCTTCCTGTTACCCTCCGCGCCCTCCTTTCTCAGTTCCTCCGGCTCGGGGGCTCCTGAAAGCCGTGTCTCACGAAGAACCTCCACTTTTAAGGGCAATCCTGCCTGTTGGTTGGAGCAGAGAAGGGATTCTAAGAGGAGGGCGCCGGACCAGGCCTTACGGGTCCAGGAAGAGAGAAAGCCAGCCTTCCAGGACCCCGAGTTTTGTGGAGGGGTGTCTACCCACGTTCCCCTCCTGCTCCACATCTGGTTCTGAGGGCAGGAGGGCGGCCCTCAGAGCTGCTGGCTCCCTTTATCCTGAAGAAGGGCTGGCTCCCTTCTGTTTGGTGGTGTTACTCCTCACCCCAGGGTGTTTTTTCCATTGATTTTTAGAGTGGAAGAGAGGGAGGGGGGAGAGAGAGAGAAATATTCCTGTGAGAGAGACACATCGATTGCTTGCCTCCCACACAATGGGCCTGGAAAAAAACCAAGGTATGTGCCCTTGACCTGGAATCGAACCCACGAACCTCTGGTGCATGGGCCGGTGGCTCACTGAGCCACACTGGCCAGGGCAGGGCAGGGCTCCCCTTTGTTATTAAACTACAGTGATATTTGCCTTGCTCTACAATCTTCCTCCAGGGAGACTGTCCTGTGCCGGTCTTCTATCCAGCCCCTCGTGACTCCCTTTCTGCTAACATCCTTTCGGGCGTGGCCCTCAGGGAGAGAAGCCCTATCTGTCCGTAGCCCCCTGCCCCTCTTTCTCTCTTGCTTATGTCCTGTTGTGAGGACTGAACCAGCGCTCTGCCCAAATGCTACATCCCCATCCCACAGTCAACACGCCCTCTAATGAAGACACTCCTGTACAGATGGCTGCACTGGAGTTGGGAGAAGTTTGTGAACCTTAGAATTCAAAGTCTTGGTCACAGTTATTGTTGGAGACACCTGCATTGAAGGGCTCTGCCTACCCCAGCTCCAGCCTCTGGGAGTCATGGGTTCCAGGGCCAGGGCAAAGCTCCAAAGCCCTATCTGTGTGCCTGGGAGGCAAGAGGAAAGCCTGAGCTGGGACTCCTTCACTCTGGCCTATTCATTTCCTGGGGTCTTCCTCCCATACGCATAGGCATGTTCCCAAGCCTTTTCAAAATCCCTTTGGCCAACCCACACCAGCCTCTTCCAGCCCCTTCACCTCAGCCCTTTCCCACCCAGCTTTTCCACTCTCACCCCGCGAAGCTGGCAGCCCTCACTGGCCTCTCCACCTCTCCCCAGCTGCCTCAGCTTCCCACACGGGCAGCTCTGCAGCCAGGCAGCTCCCCGCACAGGGGCAGCGCTTCCTCGGCCTTCCACAGGCAGCAGCAGGCAGTGGGAGTCTAGTCTGTCTTTGCCCCCAGCCCCCCAGATGCTGGTCCAAACCCTGACTGCTGAAGTGTGATCCAGGAATCAGCGGCATAGGCCCCAGCTGGCGATGCATCAGACATGAAAGTCCCCGGCCTGCCCCCCGCCTGCTGAATTAGCATCTGCATTGCTCTGCACCTCAGTGAGGGAGAAGCACTGCTGTCAGCATGAGCCCCTCCTCTCGCTTCCTGAATGGGTGGGGAGGGTGCAGTGAGAGCCCCTGAGGAAGCCCAGGCCGCGACCTCATGGTCAAGGCCTCCCTTTGACAATGGACATCCCGGGGACAATCTGGGTGACCGCAGAGAGCCTAGGGAAGCTGGTGAGGCCAGCAGAGAGGAACAGCCATGGCAGGAGCAGAGAGGAGGGGAGCAGAGGGGGGCCCTCGGGGAGATCCAGGCAAAGGCTGGGGGGCAAAGGGTACACGCATTGAGAAAGGGAGGGTTCCTCCCACCATCCCAGGCCCTGTCCCCTGTCGGGCTCCCGCTGTGCAGCCTGGCTCTGCCCTGGCTCAGCCGGATGACTAGGTTTCCTCCCTCCCCCTCGCTGGCAAAGTCACTGTCGCCCACAGGCTGCGTTGCTGGTAGTGTGTGCTCAGGAAATGTTTGTTGAATTGAGAGGAAGCCACAGCTTGTGCGGAGTCTGGATAATTCACCAGACGTGGGCCTCAGAGGAGGGGCAGAAATGGAGACTTCAGTAGGAAAACAAGCCCTGATGTCGTACTTAGGGAGAGTTGCTGTTTCTCTGAGATCTCTGAGATCCTGTCTGCGTCCTTGCTTTTGCCTGACTGGTGCAGAGAGGTGGTGGGAGAGGAAGGAGGAGATGGCAGGCAATGGCCTCAGGCTGCAGGGCTGGTCCCTGGCCCCCCCTGCAGGGTGCACTCTGCATCTGAACTGGTGTGGGGGTGGTCCCTGATGGTGAGGTCTCCCGCTGCACCGTCCCCTCCTCCCCACTCTCATTCCATTTCAGGGAGGAAGTCTTCCCGGGGGAGACCTGAGCTCTGCTCTCCCAGCCCCAGCTCAGCCTCTGCCAGCTGCGGCCTCCCTTTCTCTGGACGTCAGCCTGCTTTTCTAGAAAGGCCGAAGGCTTCTGGCCGCTGGATTGGCCGCCCTGTGAGTCTGGGTGCAAGGCAGAGGCGAGGGAAAGGGCCCAGGCCTGGGCTGGTCATGCCAGCTGCCGAGGTGCCTGCACCGAGGAGCTGGCAGCTGGCAGCTGGAGAGGGAGGCCACACAAGCCAGGTGCTAAGTGCTTCTCAGCCTTGCTCTCTGGGGGGCAGGGAAGGGCAGGGCAGGGCAGGGCAAGCTGGAGGCCCAGGCAGCAGTAGACCCAAGGCAGGGCTGACCAGCCTCAGAGACCGGGTGTGGGAAACACACATGCCCAGGGATGTGCACAGGAGGTGCAGGAAGGACAGCTCCTGGCTCCCACACGTCACTGGGCCAGGGAGTTTGCCAAACCGCTGAGCCACACGGCCACCAGCCACAGCAACCAGACACCCGTCACAGAGAAGCTCTTGACTGTGACCGTTCCTTCTCTTCCCAGTCCGGTGCCCCTGCTCCCCGGGGCTTTGCTCAGCATCTCCCCGCAGGGCCGGGGCCCCCTCTTCCACTCCCCACGCCTCCTGTGCCCCTCGCTCGTTGGCCTGCTCCTCGGGGGGGCCTGCTTCGCGGGGCCCCAGCCCTGCCAGGCCTGTCTCTCCTGGGCTCAAGGGGCCCTGCTCCTCTTTGTGGCTCAGAGCAAGCCTGGACTTCCCGCTCAGCCTGGGGGTCATCCGAACACACAGGCCGCTCAGAGCCCTCCCCCGGGGACACAGGGCTCTCCCGGGGCCCCCGCCTCAGACACGTGCCCTTCCCAGGCCCGGGGCCTCTGAGGGAGAGGTCAAGGGGGGCCAGGTCCGCATTCCGTGGAGAGCCGGGGGCCGGACTGGCTGCCGAAGCTTCTGGCTCCGCCTTGGTCCCCTCGGGGGATGCCGGCGCGGGGCTGGCTGCCTGGGGGCTCCGGGCACTGCCCTGCTCCGTGCTGCCCTGGGTCTGTGCCTGTTCCTCCTCCTTCAGAGTCCGGCTGGTGCTTTCACCTCCCTGAAACGAGGGATTGGCACTGCTGGCTGGCACACCGGGGCTCCTGTCCCTGGCCCGCCCCACCCTCTGCCCAGGTACCCACCTCCTGGCTCTCCACCGCCTCCTGGTCTTCCTTGGTCTCCCACCTGGAGAAACACCGCACATGGCAGGCCCTCCCCTTACCCACCCCACCTCGCGTCCTCAGCGCTGGAGTCAGCGGCTCCGGGGCCTCAGGAGCCTCCGAGCCAGGAAGAGGCTCCGGGATGCTTCCCTTCCAACCCGCCTTGCTCCCCGCATTCAGTTTCCTCTGAACACTGCCCTCCTTAGCCCCATCTCAGGTCCTGTCCCCGTGTCGTCGTGTGTGTGTGTGTGTGTGTGTGTGTGTGTGTGTGCGCGCCCCCCGATAAGCATGGCCCAGCCTGAAGCACCCTGAGTTCGTGGAGACTCCGGGCCGCCCCGCCCGCGCTGCCTGGGAAAGGCACTGGCTTCCGGGGGAAGGTGGCTGCTGTAATTTCCACCGGCTCCCCGGGTGCCAGGCTCTCGCTGGCTGCCGCCTCGGCCCATGGCCTCCCCCTGCGCCTCATTAACCGGCCGCCGGCCGCCGGCAGCAGTCCACCAGGACTGCCGCCCGGACCAGCGTGGGTCCTCAGTTCCCAGGGCAGAAGGGAGCCAGGACATCAGGGCGCTCAGACGCTGCCCTTGACTTTGCCCCCCCGCCCCCGTGTGTGTGTGTGTGTGTGTGTGTGTCTGTGTCTCTGTGTGTGTGTATGTGTGTGTGTGTATGTGTCTGTGTGTGTGTATGTATGTGTGTATGTGTGTGTGTCTCTGTGTGTCTGTGTGTCTGTGTGTGTGTCTGTGTGTGTGTGTCTGTGTGTGTGTGTCTGTGTGTGTGTCTCTGTGTGTGTCTGTGTGTGTCTGTGTCTCTGTGTGTCTCTGTGTGTCTCTGTGTGTCTGTGTGTCTGTGTGTCTGTGTCTGTGTGTATGTGTCTGTGTGTGTCTGTGTGTGTGTCTGTGTGTGTGTGTCTGTGTGTGTGTGTCTGTGTGTGTGTGTGTCTGTGTGTGTGTCTCTGTGTGTGTGTGTGTGTGTCTCTGTGTGTCTGTGTGTCTGTGTCTGTGTGTGTGTGTGTGTGTGTGTGTGTGTGTCTGTGTGTGTGTGTGTGTGTGTGTGTCTCTGTGTGTGTGTCTGTGTGTGTGTGTGTGTGTCTCTGTGTGTGTCTGTGTGTGTGTGTGTGTGTCTCTGTGTGTGTGTGTCTGTGTGTGTGTGTGTGTCTGTGTGTCTCTGTGTGTGTCTGTGTGTGTGTGTCTCTGTGTGTGTGTGTCTGTGTGTGTGTCTCTGTGTGTGTGTGTGTGTGTGTGTGTCTCTGTGTGTCTGTGTGTCTGTGTCTGTGTGTCTGTGTGTGTGTGTGTGTGTGTGTGTGTGTGTGTGTGTGTGTGTGTCTGTGTGTGTGTGTGTGTGTGTCTCTGTGTGTGTATGTGTGTGTGTGTGTGTCTCTGTGTGTGTGTGTCTGTGTGTGTGTGTGTGTGTGTCTGTGTGTCTCTGTGTGTGTGTGTGTGTGTCTCTGTGTGTGTGTGTCTGTGTGTGTGTGTCTGTGTGTGTGTGTGTGTGTCTCTGTGTGTGTCTGTGTGTGTGTGTCTCTGTGTGTGTGTGTCTGTGTGTGTGTCTCTGTGTGTGTGTGTGTGTGTATCTGTGTGTCTGTGTGTCTGTGTCTGTGTGTCTGTGTGTGTGTCTGTGTGTGTGTCTGTGTGTGTGTGTGTGTGTGTGTGTGTGTCTGTGTGTCTCTGTGTGTGTCTGTGTGTGTGTGTGTGTGTGTGTGTGTGTGTGTGTGTGTGTCCGTTACCTGCGGGCCCTGCCGGTCAGCCTCTCCGTCCCTCGGGCTTTGCTGTGCAGGGCCAGGGCCACCAAGGGCCTGCCAGATGGCCCGCCCCGGGCGGCACCACCTGCAAGAAACGGCCCACAGATCAGGGCGAGAAGAGGCCTGAGCAGACGGCTCCCTCCCCAGCTCCGGGGACCCTGCTCCTCCCTCTCCCCTCCCTCACCTTTGCCGTCAGGGGACCGGGGTGGGGGCTGTGGCTTCCGGTGGCTCCAGGGACCTAAGTGAGGCCAAGGAAATGGGCGAAGGGAGGGTGACAGAGGATCCAAACACCAGTCCTCCCAGGACCAGGAGCTGGTGCTCATTCTCTCGGCTCGGCTGTGGTTTTCTGGCTCCCACACAGAGCCCTGGTCTGGCAGCCCGGAGGGCAGGGCCCCTTGCTCACTTGGCCACTCCTGCCCCGATGGCAACCCAGCCGCCCCTGCACCAGCCTCCCCGGGTGTCAGACAGGGGCCCCGGGCCCCGCAGAGCTCTGTTCCAGGCCCGGCCAAGGGCAGGGAACGCGGGCTCTCGCCCACGAGGAGCCAACAGCCCTCAGCTCTCCCCAGACCTCCGGGCCGGAGCCCGGGGCAGGAGCTGTGGCTTGGAGGGGAGCAGGGTCATGGTGACCTCCTCCGATAGCAAGGGGGAGGAAGGAAGATGCTCCTCCATGCTTCCTGACAGCTCTAGAAATAAGCGGCAAACCAAGGAGCAGGGAACAGAGGGGAAGAGGGGGCAGGCAGTGAGGTGGGGTGTAGCTCACCCCTGGTGCTGCCCGTCCCGCTGGGGCCCTCCTCCCGAGGCTTGCTGTGGAGACAGAGAGGCCGTCAGGCTGCTGGTGCGGGGGGGACAGAGGCTGCAGCAAGACCCACCCCTGCCCCACCTCCCCACCCGAGCCCCAGACCTGAGGGCAGCAGGAAGATGGGGGGCCCAGTGCCTGCACAGAGCCCTGCCCGGAAGGCCCAGGCAGACCCTCACCCCCCTGGGGAGGCCCTACCAGCTCCCCAAGCAGCACCCACAGCCAGCCTGGCCCCAGCCCCACAGGCCCCCTGCCCGCCACCCACGTGGGCTTGGCCTTGTCCAGGTCCCATGGGCGGCGCCAGTCACCCTGTGCATCCCTGTGCCGGGCGAGGCGGGCCAGGTCGATCTCCTCCCGCTCCTGCTTCCACTGCGCGTAGTCCCAGCCCCCGTCCGGGGGCCCCCGCGCGGGCCTGCGGGGAGCCGGGCGTCCCAGGCCTGCATTCCGGGGCTCCCGGGCGCCCTGCCGGGGACAGGCACTCAGCACTCCGGGCAGAAGCAGCAGGCGGCCCTCAGTTTGGAATGGACACCCAGCGTCTCCTGACCCCTTCCTTCCTCGCTCCGGGTTCCCCGTCCCCATCTGAGCATTGGATGTGCTCCATCTCCAGTGTGCTGCTGGCGGTAGGCATGGCTTCCACCCGCCGGCCAGCTGCGTCTTTGGGGCAGCTGCTTAACCTCTCTGTGTCCCATTTCCTCATCTGTGAAACGGGTGCGTGCGTGCGTGTGTGTGTGTGTGTGTGTGTGTGTGTGTGTGATCGTAGCACCTGCCCACAGGCCCCGAGGGAGGGCACCCAGCGGCTGGGAGCCAGAGCCAGGACTAGCTGCTGCTGCCACCTAGAGGTCGAACCTCACCCGAGGCCAGTCCCTGGCTCCCTCCTGGCCCCACCCACGGGCCCCCAGAGGTCCGGGTAGGGTGAGGGCTGGATCACAGGTCTGGCTTACCCTGGCTGTCACGGCAAGTCCACCCCGCACAGGGACCGGCCCGAGAGAGGGAGGAAGGGTGGGAACTCTCGCTGGAGCTGCCGGGCCATGTCCCCTCAGAGGGGGACACGTGACGCAGCTTCCTGACCCCTGGCAGAGGGGCACCACCACATGCCCGTCCCCACCCCCTCCTGAGGACATACCCTCCGTGCAGAATCCACGCCGGCAGCCGTGTGCGCGAAGGAGCCCCGGCCCGGGCCCAGGCCCTCTCCGGGCGGCCCGTCTGCCCCCTGGTCCCGTGCTCTGGGCTTCTCACTCACGATCCGCTTGGCCTGGGGGAGGGGAGGGCGGGCGGTGTGGCAGAGCGGGGGGAGGACAGGCTGGCCGCCCACCGGGCTGCCCCCCTCACCCTGCTCACCTCGGCTTTGTTCTCCATGGTCACGGCCAGCTCCACCCGCTCCCCCAGGCAGAAAGAGTCAGCGAGGTCCCCCACCTCCTCATCCTCCAGCGACTCGTTGGCTGCTCCAGGCCCAAGGGTGCTCCTCGCCCAGTGCCGGCTGACCCCCGCTTCCCCTGCAGAACAAGGAGCTCTGCCCTCGGCCCTGTGGGCAGTGCTGGGGCTGGGTCCTCCGGGGGTTCCCCAGGCCGGGCTCCCCCCCTGGCCCTCCCCGGAATGCCCACACAGGAGCTGACTCCACAGGAGCTCACATGCCGGGGCCCAAGATGCCACAGTGACTGGTCATCCCTGAGCCGGGAAGCCCAGAGCGGCCGGACAATGGGGCTCTGTCCCTCAGCCCCTGTCCCTGGCCTCCAGTCCCAGCTTCCTGGCCCCTGGGGCTTGGGGTTTAGGAGTGCTTTGAGGCCTGTGGACAGGGCTGTGGGGCTGGACAGGGGATGAGGAGGCTTCTACTTGTTGGCCTTTCAGCTGTGGCCCTCGGGGCTGGGACAGCAGTGGCCTGGGCTGCATGGGGCTGGGAGCTGGAGAGCAGCCCGGGACTGGATGTGGGAGAAGCAGAGGGGCAGGACTGGGTGTCCGCCTCCGATGTGGGCTGGCCCTCCACCTCCTGGCCACCCTGCCCTGCTGGGGCGGGGCGTACCCCGGGAACCTGGCTGATGGTGACGGTGAGGCTGTCGGCTGGCAGCAGCTCCGGCGTGGTCAGAGCCATGCCCCCCTGCTCCGCCTGCCGGCGGTCCTCCTGGATCTCCTGTGGGAGGACCCGGGTCAGCACGGGCCCCGAAGCTCAGAGATCAGACGCCGGCGGGACACCAGGAGGCAGAGGCACCCCGTCACCGAGTCCCCAAGACCCTACGGAGCCTCTGAGGTGGACCACACCCACCCTTACCCGCCCCCAACCGGAGCCTTCAGGGAGAGACCCCACACAGGGGCTGCGGGTCAGACAGGGCGTGCCAACCCCGCTGGGCCCCCGGCCCCCGCACCGCCCACGCACCTGGTACCTGCGCAGCAGGGCCTGGTTCTTCTTTCGCAGAGCAACTATCCTCCGGTCCAGCTCTGCGTCCTTCTCTTCCTGCCTGTGCATCGGGGTCTCAGCCCCGGGAGGCCCCTGCGGAGGGCAGGGGGCCCCACACTCACCGGTGCCCCAACCTTCCCACCAGCCAGCTTCTCACCCCCCGGGGCACACACCCAAGGCCCCGAGCTAGGGGCACAAGGGGAGCGGCACAGAGGGGGCCCAGGCCCAGGCCCCCACCCCACGAGGCCTGTCTGCCCTTCGCTCTGCATTCTGGGGCTCAGGTCAAGGCCTCCTGCCCAGGCCCCAGGCTCCCAGCCGTGGGCCGCCCCTCCCCCCCCGCTCTCCAGGGAGCGCCACCGCCGAGCACAGCCTGGAATGGGAGTTATAAATGGCTCTGGCAGCGGAACCTGCCGTGACTGGGAAGCTGCCAGGGGATCCGGGAGGCCGAGGAGCGAGCTGTTTGGCTCCCAGGCTGAGAGCCACGGTGAAAAGAGAGGGCCCTGATTCGCCCTGAAGTCCCAGGCCCCGGACCCCAGGCCTGCGCCCGGCCTGTGGGAAAGAGCTGCTGCCCGGGGCCCAGCCCTTCTGCCCCCGGGCCCAGCTGCCCCAGCTGCCCCAGCTGCCACCGGAGCACGGCCTCCTGCGGTCTCAGCCCTCTCCCAGCCCCAAGGAGCCCTCCGTCAGGGGCGAGGTGCCACTCACAGCCGAGTGCATGGCAGCCGCAGGCACGGAGAGGATTCCAGAGCAGCCCCGGGGGAGCCGGAGCAGGAGGGCCGCGGGAGCCACCGGGGCCAGGCCTCCGCCAGCCTCTCCCTGCCGGCTTCGCCGCCCAGCACACGAGATCATGTTGTGATTACAAAAGACTCAGCTGGGCTCCCGGCCAGGAACGCCCTGGCCGCTGCCCCCACCCACCCACTCTCCGAGGGCGCGGGCCAGCCGCCGGCAGCCAGCCGCCCTGCCCAGCGCCTCTCCCTGCCCTGCCCCTGCCCCTGCCCCCAGGCCGACTGGCAGGACGTCTCCCTGGCAGGTGGAGCCGACACAGGGACCGGCCCCAGGTCCCCCCGCTTTCCCCACGGCCCTGGGCACAGCACGGCCCCACCGGGCCCGCCTGCAGACCGGTGGGCGGCCCTGAGCCCTCCCGGTGGTGGAGAGAGGCCCACGGGACATGGGACACAGCCCCTTACCACCTGGTCTGAGGGCCCCCGCGCCTCCAGGAGCCTCCCTCGCTCTCCGCCCCAGCCCGAGAACATAAGCTGAAGCGACCGAGAAGCTCACCTGCCCTCGTCTCTGCCCCCAAATACTACCCATACCTAAAATAACTCCATTAGTCACTCGTTCCTCCAGGCTGAGCGCCATCTTTCCTGCACTTTTTCTGTGGAACGGGGTGGAGGGCCCTTGCTACCACAGCTCCCAGCCGGCCACCCCACCTCCCTCCTCAGGCTCCTATCGCGGGGCCCTGGCTCCCGAGGGCTGGCCCTCTTGGCCTCTCTGACCGGAGAAAGGAGGCAGCCGTTCTCGGGAAAGTTTCTGGCTCCGCGCTCCCTGTGCAGCTAAGGCTGTCCCTCCCTCTGCCCGGGGCAGTGGGCTCCCTGTGCAGCTAAGGCTGTCCCTCCCTCTGCCTGGGGCAGTGCGCTCCCTGTGCAGCTAAGGCTGTCCCTCCCTCTGCCCGGGGCAGTGGGCTCCCTGTGCAGCTAAGGCTGTCCCTCCCTCTGCCCGGGGCAGTGGGCTCCCTGTGCAGCTAAGGCTGTCCCTCCCTCTGCCCGGGGCAGTGGGCTCCCTGTGCAGCTAAGGCTGTCCCTCCCTCTGCCCGGGGCAGTGGGCTCCCTGTGCAGCTAAGGCTGTCCCTCCCTCTGCAGGGGCAGCGGCGTGCCGGCACCCCCTGCCTCCGTTTCCCTCACCCCACGCCATAGCTCGCGCCCTTCTGGTTCCAGAGCAGAAAGCTCCGCTGCCCTCTGTCCTCCCCAGCCCAGCCAGAGGCCCACCTCTGCTCCTCCTGGGGCCCTCCCCTCCACGGCTAGCCTCTTCCCTGGCCAGGCCCTCACGCAGCGCCCTAACCCTCACCCATCTCCACAGACCCAGAGTTCCCTTGGAAATGATGGCCCTGCTCTCTCTTCCTTTCCCGCCCCATGTTCCCATGGAGTCAGACTCATCTGCTTTCCCAGCAACGGATGCACCCAGGCCCCTTGCCCTGGGCCTCTCCCAGGCATACTCACCCCATCCCCACCTTCGCCACGCGCTGCCCCCCACAGCCGCTGAGTTCCCGCAGAGCCTCTGAAGGCGGGGCGGGGGCGGGGGAGGCAGTGTAGGCCCTGGAGCATGGCAGGCAGGCTTCCCATCCACTGCCCACCCCGTTGTTGGAGCCGGAGGCCTGCAGAGAGAGCATCAGCCTGGGAGGGGTCCTATGCTCTCTACCCTGTTTGGAACCCAGACTCCCAGACCAGTGGAGGAGGAGGAGGGGTATGGATAGAAAAGGCTGCAAGGGGGTGAGGCAAGACCTGCTGTCCCCCCGAGTCCCGTTCCCGGCCAGGGGACAGGAGGCCCAGGGAGAAATCCAGCCGCCCCGAGGGGAGGGTGACCCTGCCAGGAGGGACTCCACTGACCTGGTGGCCAAAGCCCATCAGCTGGAGGCCCACGTGCCCAGGACACACCAGCAGTGAGAGCCCCCCAGCTTCCGGTCCTGAGCTGCCCACGTGTTACACCGTTACGCCTCAGAGCGGCCCCCCGCGCCCCTGTTTCCTCCAGAGCCTGCGTGCTCCCCCACTGGACAGAGGCTCTCTGGGAGCGGAAACGGGGTGCCACGGGCCTGGCACAGCGCCCTCGCAAACGACAGACCCCACCACCACTTGCAGAATGAATGTATGAGTGAATATCCCGCGCCGTCCTGGGCGCAGCTGCGGGTATCGTATACACAGGCAGGCTGTGCCCGCCTTCCACCCAGCCCGCAGGCCGCCCTGAGGTAGAGCCCCTAAGAGCGAATCCCCCTTCCCTGTCGGGGAGGCAGGGAGGTGACAGCGTGATGTTCCAGGAGGCCCTGATCCTGTTACTCCCTGCCACCACTAGGGGGCAGCAGAGTTACAAAAGCCCGGGCTAGGGAGGCGTGGCCTTCCCCTTCATGCCTCCTGCTCCCCAGCTCCCCAACCTTAAGTCTCGTAACCCCCACCTCCCAACTCCACCAGAATGAAGATGAGGAAGCTCAGAAAGGTAGCCCCATTTGCCTAGGCCGCACAGCCAGTGTGAGGCCCGGATGCAACTACTAGAAACCAGCGGGGCACCTGCCTCCCTTGCCCAGCGCTCTTCCGCGCCCCCCCCCCCCCCATCTTAACCCCACCAGATGCCCCAATATTTTACTTCTCAGGTCTGGGTCACATCTCTTCCCTTTGGAAGGTATGATGGGTCTATGGTCCACAGACCCAGAGCCAGCCCTGAGGGCAGGTGCTGCAAGCCTGGAGACTCTTGTTGAGGCAGGAAAGAGGAGGAAAGCTTGCAGGGGAAGAGAGACCCTCCGGATGACTCGCTGAGACGGGAGCTCAGAGCTGGCAGAGAGCCGGCACGACTCAGACCCTGGTCACTGCTTCCAGGATGGGTGATCGTTAAATACAAGCGCTCCTTGCCCGTCCTCAACCTCGTCCTAAACGAGGCAATGCAATTTGTAGATTCCAGATTAACTTCACCCCTTACTGGCTGCGTGGCTCTGGTCCTCATCTCTCCAATGAGGTGTAACTACTTCCAGCCATTGGCAGATGAAATGAAGAAGCACAGTAACCTCCGTATGTGTCTATACGAGGTGAAGCTCCCCATAGTTTTCTTCTGGCCTCAGGTAGCCTTGAGAGGCGCCTCTGGATGCTTTCCTGGAGGCCTCCCAAAGGAGGTGGGCCAAAACCGGTTCGGCTCAATGGATAGAGCGTCGGCTTGGGGACTGAAGGGACCCGGGTTCGATTCCGGTCAAGGGCATGTACCTTGGTTGCGGGTATATCCCCAGTAAGGGGTGTGCAAGAGGCAGCTGGTCGATGACTCTCTCTCATCGATGTTTCTAGCTCTCTATCTCTCTCCCTTCCTCTCTGTACAAAAATCAATAAAGTATGTTTAAAAAAAAAAAAAAAAGGAGGCAGGACTGCACACACTGTGGGCGCGTGGTGTACGGAGAACTTTGTGGCCTGGGGAGGAGATCCGAGGCACGATCTCAGCAAACTTTCTGTGCCCCCTTCACGCTGTTCCCTGCTCAGAAAACCCCACCAGGCCTGGCTCCCACCCCCCCTCCCCCCAGGAGTCTTCTCTGCCTGCTCCCCTCCCCCGGCCTCGTTCCCTCTGAAGCCCAGGCTCTGGCTGTCATCCATCTCCAGCCGGCATCGGAGCTCCTGGAAGCAGTTCCTGTACCTCACCTGCCTCCGGATCCTACGGGTCCAGCTCCGGGCTCATGTCCCGGTGCCTGGGAGCCATCCTCTTTGACCGGGGCTGACCCCTCGAGGTCACCGGTGCCACTAGACAGCTCTGGGCGGGCGGGTGAGTATTGAGGAAGGGGATGAGCAAAGCCAGATTGCACGAGAGCCCAGTTACTAGGGAGCAGCCCTCTGAATAAGGAGAGATACGAAGGTGGCTTAAAGCACAGTGTTCCTTTCCCACAAACCCACTTCCTCCACTCCCCCCTTTCCTGGCTGAAGAAGCTGCTGCGCTAAGTCCTGCTGACTGGAGCAGGGGTCGCCAACCTGTGGGATCCCTTAACACGACCCGCGTGGTTCAGGGCCCACTCAGGGTCCGGTTTCTGGAGAAGGCCGCACACTAAAATGAAGAGAGAGACTGGAAAAGAGTTAATTTGGGAAAATGGGGGCCAGGCGGGAAGTCTACCTCTAGTGGGAAGACTAACCGCTCTTTGGCCTTTTACCATTCCTTTTATTGAGATTCTGAAACAAAGATATCTCTTAAGGAGGAAGTTCCAACAGCAGAAAATCAACTTACATTTACATATGATTAACAGATTAAAGTTGCCTCAAGCACCACTATCTCAACTATACAAAGAGTTAATGCCTCTGACCATTCAGAGCCATCAAGGTCGCATAGCTCTTTTTACATTTTATCTCCAATGACAATGCTAGGTTTTGGTTCCCTGTTCCTGGTTCCTGGTTCCAGGTTCCCGGCACCAACCGGTGGTCCGCAGACCACTGCTGGCCCGTGAGGTCCGAAAGGTTGGCGACCGCTGGACTAGTGTGTATGCAGGCCTTGCAGGCCCGGCCAGGCCTGGCTCTGGGTGAGAGAGTGCATGACATGGGGCCAAAAGGACCAGTCCTGGGGGGGCTCCAGGTGCCAGAGACAAAGTCTGGGCCCGCCTCCCCCAAGAACACACCTGCCAGAGCAGGGCAGGGCCAGAGCCCTTAGAGGCGTCCGTCCGTCCGGAAGCAGCAGGAAAGCTGGTCTGGGGACCCGCCCCTCCATTCTGCTCTCCAGGGCACACCGGGCGGGGCCTCTGGAGCTCCCCAGCTTTAGGCCTGGCAGTGGGAGCCGAACCCCTGGGGTCTCCCCTGGAGGGGACTCTCTTCTCCCTGGTGGCTGCAAAGTAACTCAGAGTGTTTTTCTCAGAGCTGCTCGCTTCCTTGTCCCCCCAGCCAGGGGAAGCACACAGTAGGCAGCTGTGTCCAGAGCTGGGAGGGAGGGGTCTGGGCCAGGCAGAGCAGTGGGGGTCCAGGGGGCGTGAGCAGGAGGCCTGGGAGCATTAGCACAGCTGGGGGTGAGCACAGCGGAGAAGGGAGGGGCTCAGGCCTGCGGCCCGGAAAGCGTGGAGCAGACCGGCTGGCCTGTGTGGGCCCAGGGTGCTCCGTCTCTGGGCCGGAGAGAGGGTTGTGTGGGATACGCAGGCTGTCTTCCACCTGGACACTCATGCCAGGGGCCTCTCATGGGAGTGGGGTGTGGGTGGAGCCCCATCCGCTAGGGATCCGTAGGGAAAAGATCTGGCAAGTTTTGAGGAGTAGAGAGCTGGCCGGGCCCACAAGAGGGAGTGGTCAGGG